CGTAGTCATGTATGCTCTTCTTGCCAGTGTCGGACATCAACTCTGCTACTGCTGCTCGTCGCTCACTATCAGAGTTGCTCCTAAACTGGACGAAAATCTATCGTCGCTACTTGCACTGAATGAAGCACACACCGCCGTACCGTTGACGTATTTATGTTGACTCTGGCTACCACACAACATGAAGTCCGCAAACGAATCGTGTCCCTGGCCGCCGTTGTCTGGTGATTTATTCGAACAGGTTTTGGCGGTGCTGCGCATACTGGGCAGAGGAAACTATTTCGACGATGTCTCGGAGGTCACCGGCATGGGCGAGGCCACGGTGAACCACATGTTCCACAAGTTCACGGAGAGATTCGCGCGTGAGTTTTTTCCGGTATGGGTGAGGATGCCGAATGAAGACGAGCTGAAGGACATCATGAAAACCTATGACGAGGTTGGAATGTCGGGCGCCATGGGGTCGATGGATGGGACGCACATTGAGTGGACGTTGTGTCCTTATTCCCAACGCTCGTCGCACATTGGCAAGGAAGGCTACGCTACCCTCGTGTTCAATGTTGCCGTCAGCCACGACATGCGTGTTTTGTCGTGTACGCGGGGCTTCCCCGGCGCCCAGAACGACAAGACCATCATCAAATTCGACAAGTTCGCGATGGCGGTTCGAAACGGCTGGTACAAGGACGTAGAGTACACTCTGAAGGGCGAGGACGGAGCGGACATCAAAGATGAAGGACCATGGTTGATAGTGGACGGCGGATATCACAACGTGAGCGGGCTCGTGTTCCACCGAATTTGTAGTGCAGAATGTCTTTCTTTGCACTCGGCGCGCGCGCAAGGTTTGGTGTTCCGTTAGCTAGCATTAAGTAGCGTTTAGGAACAGGAGACGAAACAACAGAGAGTCGCTACTGCTGTGCCTTGAAAACTACAGATCTTGGCCCATGTCGCTTCCCCAACGTGCTGTGGTACCGGACAGGGGTTGCATTTGTTCAATTTCGGATGTGTTTTCATGTATATCACTGCACGCGTTCGCTACGGCAGTTTTGCGTTATATACCGTAGTTCGGTCGCTGCTCCCTCTGGCAGGTGCTTTTTTTTGGGTGGATTGACAGACAGACACTGTATATGCAAAGGTGCCTCCAAAAAAAAAGAGACGCCCAGTGGGGTCCGCGCGGTCCCCGCAAGACGTCAGTGTTGAAACGGTTCGGCAGTGTGAATTGACAACCGACAATTTGGATGCCAGCCAATGCTTCCACCGAAGCGTGTCTTCGTACGTGCTTGTCTGCCTGCTTGTAAGCGAGTTCGTGTACCTGTTGGCTTTCCCC